CGCGCGCCAGAGCTCAGGGTCCCTGCAGGCTCAGGCCGAGGCCGCCACTTGGCAGAGCTTCTCCATGCTGCTGCCCACCCCACAGCCTCCGGCAGGAAACTGCTCCTGCCACCCCAGCACCTCGCAGGTCCGGAGAGACCCGGTGGCTTCCCTGGGCTCCATGACAGCTGCAAGAAAGGAGGACAGGCTCAGCAGCCAGGTTGTAACCAAGTTACTTAGCTAAGGCCCTCTCATCCCTGAACAATAGACGGAGGAAACTGAGGCACAGAGAGGTCCAGTAACTCGCCCAGTCACCCAGAAGCGCATGACCACTTCCTTCTCACTCAGCTGCAGCCCTGGGGCTGAGGAGGGGGCAGGAGAGGGGGGGCTGAGCCAGCAAAGGCGCCTTGCTGGCTGCACCCCTGGCGGGGCACTCACCTTTCGGGCTGGTGGGCGGAGCCGAGGGCTCCTCCGGTGCCACCTGCCCAGGAACAGACCCCTTCACGTCCTCAGTCTTCCAAATCTGCCGAAAGGAAAAATCGCTATGGGCGGGGGAAGTGGTCCCTCTGCAGGCTCAGGGCCCATCCCGTTCCGTCACAGCGGGAAGCAGGGACCCTCCGGGGAGGGGAGGCAGGGTGCCTTGTCGCTGCCGATGTTCATGAATTCTTGGGAAAAAGGTTGCTTAGGCTCCAGCTTCCCTGTGCAAAGTGTTAGCCAAGCTGCAGTTCAGATGGTTCCTCTCCACCCCTGTGTGTTCATAGTACATCTCCCTCACCCCTGACCCGCAAGGACAAGGCTCAGCAGCCAGTTTATAACCAAGTAACTTAGCTAATGCCCTCTCGTCCCTCTGCCACCCCACCGGGGCCCCCTTCACCACTCAGCAGCTGGGCCTCCATCCTCTGACCCTGGTCCGAGCCATACTGTCAGTACCCTCAGGCTGACCACACAGGGCTTGCACTTGCTGAGTCTGGACTTCTGTCGCCAAAGGCCGAGGACCAGCCTCCACTTCCATGCTTAGATGCTTCTGTGAGCTCTGGGCTATGCAGGAGCTCAGCTCCCAAGCTGAGCGATGGGCCGGGGGTGGGGGGGGGGTGGATGAAGAAATACACCTGATGCTCAGCCAGCCCGCTCCTCTGGCCAACCATGTGGACCATGCGCCACCGAGCCCAGACCTGTGGCCTCCTCACCCTGCAGCCAGCTCCGGACACCCTGCTCTCTGCAAAGACCCTGCGCCCCTCAGCACAGATGGGACCTGTAAGGTGACTCCTCAGCCTCATCTCTCCTGTCCGGGCAGCTGGCCCCCACCTGCGTGGCCTCCTCCAGACCCTCTGACTCCCCCTTGTCCTTGGAAATCAGTTGAAACGCCACCTCCTCTGATGGAAATAAATGGACTCTCCTCTCAGAATATCCACCATGTTAGCCGTTCTGCTTCCTGAAGCATCATCTCCATGATGATTCTGAGACTGAGTGTAGAGGCCTCTGAGGGCAAGGCTAAAAGAGCGAGCTTTCCTAAATGCTTACAAAATTCAATGGGCATTTTCTTGAATACCTTGTAGTATTCAATTAACATTTCCTTTCATAAAATGTAGAATTCAATTGACAGTTTTTTGAATGTGCCTCTTAATTGTTTTTTATCTTTACTCATTCCTTCATCCTTCCTGTCAGTCACAGAAAAATCACCTGTATTTTGTTTATCCCATCCTGTTCTTTCCACCTCAATGTTTCTCTCTCCTTCCTTTCTTGGTTTCTTGATGCTCCCCCTCTCCGCGGTCCCCCTTAGAGGATCCACAGCACATTTCAATGATCCTAATGATAGCACAAACCACATGAGTATATTTTCTGCTTGTCCCCTCTTCTGGAATATGAGTATCTGAGGACAATGACCTGTTTATCAGTACTGTCTGTGTGCCCTATATAAAGTGACTGGCACAGAGCCAGAGTTCAATGACTGTTACATGGATGGTTGGGTGGATGTATGTATGTATGTATGTATGTATGTATGTATGGATGGATGAGTAGTTGGACAAACCATTGGGTAGCTGAATAGATTCACAGATGTATGGATGAAAGGGTAAATGGGAGGATAGATATATGGATGGAAAGAACAAAGGGAGGAAGGGAGGAGAGAGATAAATAGTTGGGTAGATGGGTGGATCTTTTATTGGATGGATGGATATATGGGTGGATGAATGGATGGATAGATAGATGGGTAGGTAGAGATATAAATAGTTGGATGGGTAGATGAGTGGGCAAGTGGGTGAATAGATTAATGAATGGTAAAAATATCTCTTTTTAGCACTGGGCTATGTTCTTATGCATTTGGGCATTCAACTTTCATACTTTGTGATAAATGTTTATTTCATTATGTAAGAGTATGTCTGTATAAATTGTACACACATATTGGAAAGAGCCTTGCCTTTGCCCTCATTGCTACAGGGACCTGGTCTGGAATGGTCTCATGCAGCCTGCAGGTTCAGACCCTTGGAGGAAGGGAGCAGAATAAAGATGAACACGCTCTTGTACCGCGCCATCCTCCCACCCCAGACACACCTACCCGGACCATGCCGTCTCGACTTCCAGTGATGATGGCGTGGCTTGCGTCCCATGCTGGCCCCTCCACCGTGCAGCAGCAGGTTATGGCTCCTTCTGGGCCCCAGGCTGTGGTGATGCTGGCCAGGGGCTGTCCATTGACATTCCATAGGGACAGATGGGCTCCAGCACAGGAGACAACGGTGCCCTGTGCAGGGAGACCTGGCTTCACTCCAAGCGGGGTCACTGCCTGCCCCCAGCCTCCTGCTCAGCCACTTGCTCAGGCTCTCAATCTGTGCACCAAGCACCCTCAACCCGCCATCTTCTGAAGACTAAGCAGGTGCTCCAAGACCTCCTGAGACACCCGCTTCTTCCCGCTGACTCGGGTCTGCATTGCGTTCTCGTGCAGCTGTGAGGTCCCAGCTTCTTACACCTCTGCTTGCTTGGACACTGCTTTCCCTGCACAAGCTGGTGGGCTTGCCCTTTGGACTCCTCACAGCTCTCTCCCTGGCAGTATACTGACGGGAAGGGGTGTACACAGAGCCTGCACCTGGCCGGCCATCCCTGTCCCTAAGAAGTTTTAGACATTATGGGGTGGAGGGCAGAGTACAGAGGCTCAAATGGCTACATGTGGCTCATAA